AAAAGGGAGAAAGGGAGGGAAGGAGGGAAAATGGAGGGAGGAAGGAATGAGAAAGGGAGGGAGGGAAGGAGGGAGGGAAAAGGGAGGGAGGAAGAAAAAATGGAGGAAGGAAGGAATGAAATGGGGAGGAAGGAATGGAGGAAAGAAAAGGGAGAAAGGGAGGGAAGGAGGGGAAATGGAGGGAGGAAGGAATGAGAAAGGGAAGGAGGGAAGGAGGGCGGGGAAAGGGAGGGAGGAAGGAAAAATGGAGGAAGGAAGGAAGGAAGGAAAAAGGGAGGAAGGAATGGAGGAAGGAAAAAGGGTGGGAGGGAATGAAAAATGGAGGAAGGGAGGAAAAAGGGAGGAAGGAGAGAATGACAGAGGAAGGAAAAATGGAGGGAGGGAGGAAAGAAGGAAGGATTTACTTTAGGCGTTGGTGGCTTGCATCTTCCTTCTCTCTGCATCAAGATGTTCACATTTGGAAACGACGCCCACTTAACCCTTCACTGTCGCGCTGACCCATCCCATCGGAAGATTTGAAATTTTTACTATAATGCGGATTTTTTAAAATAAATAAATAAATGAATAAATAAATTCAAAGCGGTAATCCTGGTGTTTTAGCGCCGCCTGCTGTCAATGGCAAATCCATGCTTTTCAAGGAGTGAATTTCTGCCTTCAGGTTTTCGTTGCCTGATCTGGACTGGGGGCAATTCTTTTGACTTCTGGGGGGTCGCCTGGGCCGGTCCCTGCGGTTCTTGGCGAGACGTTAGAAGCGCTCTGCGGCCGTTACGTGGTTCTTAGGGTCGAGAGAGAGGGGCTGGCCCAGCGTTACCCAGGTAGCCTTGAAGGGCTTCGGGTGGGACTGCACCGCCACGGACTGCTGGTTTCTAGCTTGTGTCTTAATAATTGCAATACTAAACTGGTTCTCTTAAGGACTGCACTACTGAATGGTTTCTTCCTTCCTTCCTTCCTTCCTCTCTCTCTCTCTCACTCTCTCTCTCTCTCTCTCTTTCTTTCTTTCTTTCCATTCTCTCTCTATATTCCCTACCTCTTTCTTTCTCTCCGCCCTCCCCCTTTTCTTTCTTTCTTTTCTTTCTCTTTCCTTCCTCTTCTTTCATTCTTTCCTTTCTCTCTCTCTCTTTCCCTTCCTTCTTTCTTTCGTTCTTCCTTCCTTCCTCTCTCTCTCTCTCTCTCTCTCTCTCTTTCTTTCTTTCTTTCTTTCTTTCTTTCTTTCTTTCTTTCTTTCTTTCTTTCTTTCTTTCTTTCTTTCCATTCTCTTTCTATATTCCCTTCCTCTTTCTTTCTCTCCCCCCTCCCCCTTTTCTTTCTTT